CAATTAGTAAATGAGTATACTAAACGTTCATAAGTAAATTAGGTTTTATTAACTATTCTTAATATTAAATTATTATATTAAATATATATAATATTATTTATATTGTATTATAAATTATTAGAACTAGAGTATCTCAAATTTACAGAGTATCCCACCTATTATATTATTATATATATTCATTCTTTTTCTGCGTCTTAGCTACTATTTGTCTGACATTTAAACATATTTGCTATCAAAGTGCAAATAACATTTAAATGAGTTTATTTATAATTATCAGCAAGGTGTGCTGTGCTGTGCTGTGTATTCTAACAGAGACATAAAACCAGCTCGTAGCTACATACTCAAGCATATCCGTTTTGATAAAGCGATAAGTAAATGTGGCAAAGTAAATTAAAGTGTTTTTTGTGCTTTATTTGCCACAGCATTACTTTTCCTCTCTCTCTTTCTCGCTCTTTGCAACATTAGTAAATACATTTTTCATAATTTTCCCATGTGTCAAGCGCAAAAAATCATGAAATAAAAACTTATAAAATATTAGGTAACTCTAATGACTTAATGCCCCCATTTTCAGTGCATTTTATGTCAGTTTTTTTTTTTGTTTTGTGTGCAAATCCAACTGCAGGAAGCTGACGCGCTTTTGCCACAGGCTTTTATTATTTATACTACGGGCGCTCTTTTTTCCATTTTTGTTTATTTTTTGCTCAATGATGTATTCAAGACGCCGCCAAAATTGGCACGTATATATGTCTGGTATTTTTTAAAGTATTTTTTTTCGCAGTCAGTGTGTGCCGCTTACATAATTACCGGGTTGGTTCAGGTCTGGTTTTGGCCAGCCTTTTATGGTGCTCTTTTAGTGGCTTTTAATTGGATTGGCATACAAACAAAGCGCAGAGCACTGAATGGCCCAGAGTAAAGAGTTGGAATCGAGATTAGATTTTGAGTTGCTAAGCTCTTGACTAGAATCGTGATGGCATGAGCTAACATCTTATTCTAGACAGCCCACGGGCTGGATGATAATTTGAGAGGGTCAAACAAACAAATTAATAAATATTTTAAGATCATTTTCTTGAAAACTTAAAATATGTTTTAAAATAGAATTTTAATGGTATAAACTTTTAAAAATATATTATTTTTTTTTTTTGCAAGCGAGTCTTTTCATACTAATTATTTTATAATAAATCATCTCATATTTTTTTATATTTCTTAAAAAGTCAAAACAAGTTTTAACCATATTTAGGTAGTCCACTAATTGAGCCATATATAATATTTATTTAAAATGAATTGATTTCAATAAATAAAATTGGTTTAAAATTCTTTAAAAGACTTTTTCATATTTATTAAAGATTTAAGTTTAAGTTTGCAAAAGTTTTGTTCTTGGCAAGATATATTTGTTTTTATTCAACAGAGGTTAGCTTACTCACTGAACAGCCCTCGCTCATTGCAGTTTTCAATCACTTTCAAATACTCAAACACACACACACACGCGCACACACACTCCCACTTTAATCACCCGCCAACACAGAACCGTCGAGGCAGATGCTGACGCTCCTCTTTTATTGCTTTGAATTCATCATAAATTTAGCTTCTTATGTTGGCTTTGATTGTGGGGCTCGAATCCAGTTCAACCACATTGTATGCTGCTCGTATTATTTAGCAATTGTGTCATCATCGCTGATTATCGACAGCCTCGCTCAAAAATATTTAATTTATCTGCGGCTTTGGCGCAACTTGATTGATTTATGACAGATATTTTTGCCTCACATATTTTAGCCCTTAGCCACGTTAAGAGTTGCAGTTGGTGTAATCGATTTGCGACAGCTTTTTGGCACACTTTGGGCCATAAAAATAACTCACATAGAGCCAGGTTCTGGGAAGGCCTTATAGCTCCACAGATGCGTGTTGAACAATTATACGCTTTATTTCCGCTGCCAGTCGCGCCACATGGGGCACACACAAGCCAACAACAAAAACAAAACTAACAAACAACAAGAACAACAACATTTGATATGCTTGGCCATAATTTACATGCGCAGAACGTGACGAAAATTTAATTTAATTTTGTTGTTTTGATTTTTTTTATAAAAACATTTTCTTTAAAAAAACTTTTTTATTCGGCTTTATTATTAGTAAAGACTGTCCATAGCTTTCATACGGTTGAAATTAATTTATGCCTCTTTTTTGTTCTATAAGAGCTTTGAATAATCAGTTGATGAAGGTGATAATCTGTGGAAGGAGGTCAAGCACATTCACAATTTATGATCAGAATGTAGTAAAAATATTTATTGCTGACATATATTCAATAATTCGTTCTAAAATTCCTAACCAAATTGCCAAAAATATTATTTAAATATTTATAGGAATATTTGATCTTATTAAATATTTTTGGTATATTATAAATAATTTGAAATATTTTTTAGCATATTACATATTATTAAAAATAAATATGGAATATTATATTTATATTTAACTAATGTTAATTTTATATTTATATGAGTTATTAAAAATCTAAATTATATAAAATAAAAGTATTCAAAATACTTAATATAAAAATTGCATACATTAATATTTTTATACTATTTAATTTCAAAACGAATATAATTATATACTTATTATTATTTTGAAAAATTTAAGAAAAATCTCTAGATAAATATTTCATAACTATTCCATAAAAATTTTCTTAAAAAATTCAAATATTAATAACAATTCTCCTGCCTCTTTAAATGATAATGTTCATATTTAAATTTTGCATATCAAACTCCAATGAAAATATCCCATTTCTATGCAAACGGCGCCAATAAACATTTAGTCAAATTTAATGTGGGTCTTCAACAGCTTCTCCATCGCGAAGGATGGAGGCGATGGCGCTGGGGATCGACAGACAATGTATCAACTGGCGGGCAACAAATGTCAAACATTAGGCGATTCATTATAAAGCCATAAAAAAAGCTATCCCGTGGTTAGTTTGCGACTAGCTCTGTGGCGGCAGCAGTTGGCTTGGGGCGTGCAGCTTAATGATATGCTTATGGCCAAAACGAAATCAATCAACGGGCAAAGCGGGGCGCTAACGGGCCTTCGATTTGACAAAAACGATGAATCGAAATCGAAAGAGCAAAAATGAATTATCGCCGGGTTAGCATAGTATGGGCGATGGCCATGCCGGCCTGCTGATGCTGTACCATCAATCGCCATTCTATACGTATTCTGTAGCTACACTTTGGCCAAAAATATGTGAATCTGAAATCGCAAATCTGGGAAATAATATCATCAGCAGCGCCAGCAAAGCGCTCGCTTAATTCGAAATACTTTTTCAAGCCGATAAATCTTTGACACGCTGTATTATTTTGTATTTCTTTTTCTTTCGGTTTGCCATGCCGAAAATGAAGATACTTTTTGTTTTGGCTTTGGTTTTTTTTTTGTTTTTGTTGTTGTGTTACGTCTTTCGCTTATCGTTGCAACACAATCTTAGTATACTGTGGCAAGAACTTCTTGCCAGAGCATTAAATAAGGTTCTGGCCAAATTAACGGTAGTCACGTTTAAGCGCCCAGACACAAACAACAACAACGAAACCCGAAATGAAGCAGAGGAAAAACAAGTAGAACAAAAGGCATGCCTTGGCTAACTTCAAATTCAATATGGCAAAAGCGGGCAAGGGCTCGGGTTGGGGCACCCGAATTCGAAAAGAAATTGTGCGGGTAATTTTCTCGAAAGGGAAGATAGAGTGGAAAGTGGTTGGTGGATGGTGGAAAGTGGGAAGTGGAAAGCGCTCTGTATAAGAGGCATTCGAAACTTAATTTAGCACATTAAAAACTATTGTTCGGTTGGAGCGTTTCTCTGGACCGAGTGGACTTGGCTAGAAACGTGCAGCAGCCATTGGGTTTAATGAGCAAATGCGTTTCGACTGAATTCTTGAAATTGGGGGCATTTGGTGGGCGGCATACTAAGTTGGCCACGATGGCAGATAAATATATATATTCTTGCCAAACTTACAAATTAATTAAACTGTGTGTTAAATAATAAAAATGTGATAATGAAGATACTTAAGATGATAGCTGAATAGCTAATGTTTAGACAAACTTTATTTTCCAAATAGATTAATTTACGATTAGATATTTCGAATTAACTTGAGAGTTATAGGATCTATAGCTCTAATGAAATATCTCAAAAACTTGTTAGTGCTCAATATAGACTTATGAAATATATAAAAAATATTTTGATAGTTGAAACACATCAAACATCTGCAGACCATAAATTTATCACTGATATAGTAACTTACTGTCAAATTTGATCATTTTAAATGACTTCATCACGAAGTGCAAACCGCGAAATCATTATTTATTGTTAACTTTATGTGTAAGCCACAAAGATTAACCCATTATAATTGCCTTCATGCTCCAACTTGGCCAGTTACGCCTCCATATATGTATGTCTCTATGCATATCCGCTTATATTATTTAACCAGCTACGAAACATTTGTTAATACAAAATATTATAATACAACCCGCTTGATAATAAATTGCCCTTATGAGCAAAAACAACAACAGCAAACCACACAACATGAAAAACAAAATACAAAATATAAAAAAAAAATCAAAATGGAATTTATGGTGCAGCAGGCGTGTTTTCAAGGGGAGAGGGATGCTTGTTGGGAGGGGGAGGGTGGTTGGCTGAAAAGCAACGCAAGTGGCGGCTTTTTAAAGCAACATTAATCATAGCTCATGGGAGCCAGACATAAAGGTTCACGACTCGCTGCTGCTGCTGTTGTTGTTGTTTAAATTATTTAAAGTACCGTAAAGTGCAGGGGCTAAAGAATTATGAGAGCCACTGCGACAGATAGCGAAAACAGCTGAGACGTTCAGAAAATGTTCTATCATAAATTAAACAAATGTGCAAAATCGACATAAACTAACTCCCTCCGCCGCCCTCATACCTAATAGCAAATGCATATATGCACGTAATTTTAATCAGTTCTCTCTCTTTCTATCTGTTTATCTTTGCACAGCAATCGCTGCTAGCGGGTCGCATACCTGTGGCCTCCATGACGGGACCCATTAAGCGCGGACTGCTGTGGCAGCAACGGGATCGTCTCTTCTCGCGCTGGAAGGAACGGTAAGTGATACGAATAATTTACATTAAAGTTTAAATTAGACTTTCCTTTAGGCTAATTAGGACCGTTTTAGTATTTTAGAGATTGCCCCGCATATATATCATTTCATAAAAAACACATGTTTATAATAGATATGATCTTTTGTCCAATATATATTTTTTAATTTTCATATAATTTCATATACTTTATCTCCTATTTAATTCTGTTGTTCCTGATTTATATTTAAGACTAGAAAATCTTATTTAATTTCAGACAGATAGGACAACAATTAATTTAGTATAATATATGTTCTTAAAACTATATTCGAATTTTTAATCATTTTCATATAATTTGATATTTGATATTTTAGTTCTTACTTAATTTAATTTTGTTTTGATTTATATTGAAATAATTTGAATGCTTTAAAAATTTGGGAATCGTTGGAAATCATAAACATTTTCATAAAATTTGAGATAAGTAGGATTTAATATTTATTTAATTTATTTTTTTTTTATATTTATATTATAACAAAGCTTTTTAACATTATAATAGCTTTTTTTAATATTTAGTTTAATAATTTGAGTAAATATTTGATATTTTAATTTTTATTTAATTTAAAAAATAGAAATTTTACAATTTAAAATGAGTTACATATTTTTATATTTATTATAGCTTATTTTTTTTTTAATTTTTAAAAATTATTGTTTTCATTAATGAATTCATATTAATTATTAGTTTTTTCAAATGATTGAATTGATTTATAAATTTATATAAAATATTCAAGCTGTTCAGCTTCTTACTTATAAATCTTGATATTGGTAAAGAATTTGCTCCAACTTATTATGAATTTGAAAACCCTTTTAAAAAGTTACATATTTCCCTGCATAAATTCTTTAATTTAAGCAACCCTCTCAAACTGACCAGGTGAAATGCGATGTAAATTTATTTGCCCAGGGGTTGTTAATTGCAAAAAGCGCATAATTGACTGTGGCTGAAGTTTACTTTCATATGCGAATTGCAGATAATGCAAAATGTGAATGCAAATTCTCTATGAGAGCAGGGGGGATATGCAAATGCGAATGTAAATGTATTTGCGAATGGATGTGCCAACTGATTGAATGGATGGCTGGGCTGGGTGGGTGTGACAGAGGGCATTCAGGTTGGTGTTTTTGGTTTTGTTTTCCTTTTTGTTTGTTGTACATTTAATTGAAATTTAATTATGTTACTCAGCTGGCTCATACCGCCCTTTGGCTGTGCAGAGCTCTCAGTGAGCTGGTAATTACGTTTATCGGCACATTTTTAATTGACATTTAATGACCACTAAGCGCTGCTATCAATTGTGCATATTTGATCTCCATCAGCTGCATGAAAATACCATTAAAATTGATGCCAATAAGATATTTGCTTGTAATGTCATATTAAATGAGACACAAAATTGCAGTTTGCATAAATATTTATACTATACATAAAGGAAATTTGATATTTTAATAAGGAATATTTCCAATTTCATTTCTCTATTTTAGATATATTTTTTATATATTTTTCGTGCCTGCAAATTCCTTACTTTACATATTTTTTTTTCAACTTCATAATTATGTAATCCAGCTGATATTAAGTCTTATCGCTGTCTGAACACATCATCCATCATCATTTCTCATTATTTATATATGCTTCCCATTAAGTTCATATGGATATTTAAGAGCTTTGATTGGCATATTAAATGCTCAACCAGGCAAAAAAATTTTTCTCTATTATACAATATATGCTTAAAGTTGAATTTTAACAATAATATTCAATAATAATTATTGTTTAAATTTGTTTTCTATTTCATTATCGCAGCTGTGTCTTCATTAGCTGTTCTTTACTTATGCACGTTTTGTTTATTCATATGTTTTTGTGGTTTTTGCTCTTTATTTTTTCGTCTTCCTCTTACTTTTTCACGTCGGTTTCCCTTGAAAGTTTCCACTCATTAAGTTCTGGCAATCTGCATGGCCCGTCCGCTCGCATCTGTGTTTCATGCTTCGAGCATTTAGCAAGCTTAACTAATCACTGCAGCGGTACATTATTAGCCAAGCCCACAGCAATGGCCAAGCAATTACCCAGACTCAGTTGGAAAGCATCTTACGTTTACACAACAGTATTTAGCGTCTCGCCCTGGCTCAATTTGCTTGACCACGTTAATAGCAGCGAGCTGCCAAACGTTGTAGAATTTAAACTCAAGCCACTGCCAGCTGGAAAATAAACAATTTGGCGCTTCTTTTGTTAGCTCTTCTTTTGTAAGTTATTGGAAAACAGCTTTTAAGAAGTCTTCGAAACAGAATTTTCATTGCCTTCGCCTGCAAAGTTTTTTGCCCATAAATAAATCGATGGATAAAGTTGAAGCAGTCGCTAAGCAAATATCTCTTGCCATGCATTATTAAGTTTGGCCAAAATAAAATTTATGATTGCCCAAAGAAAGAAAAAGAAATGCCAATCGCATATTAATAAAAGATTTTTCATTGCCGCGACCGAGGCGATAAAATATTATTATCATCGTCTCATGAAAGCCATCAAATCTAAAGCAGCTTTTGTAACCGAGTTACTCAAGTGGCTTTTTGGCTTTTGACTTTTGTTATTTCGTTTTTTTTGCTCACATTTTGACGCATGACTTATTATTTATTAATAACAATTTTTGCCTTTTTTTCGAACTTTGCGTGTGGCCTATTGTAGCGGGCGAAGTGTATCTAATCTTCGGCCAATTGGCAATTGTTGAATTCAAAATTTGTTGCTTGATAATTATTTTATAATCATCTTTATTAAGTGGATCTTCAGGCAATTGACCTTTAAGCAGAGATCTGGCCTTAAATTTAGTTAACAAATGATTTTATGAGCAATTTTTATTGATATTTTTGTTTTTTTTTCTTTATTGCAGATACTTTGTGCTCACCCGCGACTATTTGCATTGCTTTAAACGTGCCTCGGGTTCGGCCAACGAACGTGCCTCGGATATGGGACAATTCATATTTAAGGTAAGTCAGCGTTGGCCCAGTTAACAATAATAACAGATGTCAAAGGTTAGGCACTCAAAATGTTGAAATGGAAAACTTTTAATAGTTCTTAGTTGATAGACAAATGCAAGACTAAAGCTGACTTGTCGCTTATCAACACTAGTTTTGCAACACTATATAAACAGCTCATTTAACAAATCGATGTTCCTTACAACTCGTCAATTCTTGCAGACACTTTTAACTATAGTTATCCTTGTCAGACGTTAAAGCTAATGCAAAACTTTCATAAAGTATTTACAACAACTGGCTTAACATAATTTCATAATATATATACAAGAAAAAGATATAATATTAAATTAATTAAAAATTCACATAACCACAAAAAAATAGTTCATCTTGGAGCTACGCAAAACTTTTTCATACAATTTTACAACACTAAGAAAAAGTTATGTGCAGTTGTCAGTGACGTCATTTATGTGGCAAGTTACAAAATAGTTTTCAGTCTCTCCACTACCCTATATTTAAGCTTAAAACTTTTATTACTGTACGTATCGCTATAAATCTTCAGCACGCCCCACCAATTATCCCGAGTTACCTCAACAGCTTGACCAGGTTAACAGCCAAAAGTCACACACACCCAGAGCAACAAGCACAGATCTCTTGCTTATTTACTACGCATTGTTAAATTCTATTGCCGCAACGAGATTTATGCCAAGTATTATGACAACTGCGAGTATAACTTTGTCATACTCATGATTATTATAGCTGTGCAGCGGGCCGGTGGGCGTGGCGCCATATCAGACAGCAGGACACACCTTGAAAAGACAAAAGAATATAAAAAATGCTTATAAATTGACTCCCCACTGTAGCGCTCGAGCACATAAAGTCACGTTCTGCCGTGTTGAGATCTTCAGTTAGATATAGATGGGGGCGGGAGCCAACCTGAGCCACCTATTGATGGGCTAGACATATGGGAAATGCATGCATTAGTTAAGTAGTTTTGCAGTTAAGCTTGCACTTGATGTGTCGCATCCTGTTCCTAATTCAAACAGCTCCATTTCCCACTGCAGTTCCCTACTGCAAAAAAAAAAAGATTCCAAAACTCTACTAATTGGCTACAACTTGCAGCTACTGCATGTTAATTTGCCTAACTATCGGTACGTACCACATGAGAGCCTGGCCCACTGGCCCAGCCCAGTCCAGTCCAACTAACCCCGCGCTATCGTCCACAACTTTGCTATTAAAACAAAGCAAATACGTAGCTAAAAGGCAACGGGTAAAATTAAAACAGGAAAGCAAAGAGAGTAAAAAAATAAAACATTGCAATAAAATTGTTCGTTGTTGTTGCTTAAACAAATAAGGAAAATGCACATAAAACGGCAACACAAATGCCACTTAGCACAGCAACAACAACAAGTATAAAGAGATCATGGGAAAATTGCTTTTATTTTCGTTTAATTTAAGTTTTATCTCTATTTATTTTATTTAGCGCGCTTTTGCTGCTTAAAATCTCTGCAAAAGCAGCGTCAATAAATAGTTTGCACTCTTTTGTTGTTTACAGCTTAATTTAAAATTAAAATAAATTTCGCAACGCAACGTCAAACAATTTTGTGTATTGCGGGCAATTTTCCAAAATAAACAATTCAGCGAGCAGCAGATAATCAAGGTAAATGGAATTTAATGCGAAAAAGAAAACAAAGTTCAGATGGATGGGGAAAAGCTCGAGTGCTTAACAGCGGCAAATTGCAGTGATATAATAGATATAGCGGGAGTATTTTCTCTAAAATATGTGGGATACAAAAGGCTGCTCAATAATTCTCTACATTATATATTCCAAATTTTTACCTCGTTCAAATAAGCTAAACAAAATCAATACAAAAACAGTTATTAAACATATTATAATGTATACAGCATTTGATTTTATATCACTCTTCTTCAAATTATATATATATATATATATATATATATTATATATATCAATATTGCGTAAGCTTTATATTTTTCCAAGCATTTTACACCTCCAAGACCTTCAATAATCCATAAATCGAACATTTTTACCACTTTTGGGCATCTATATAGCTTAGACACCTACACGTATTAGCAGAGACAACAACCAGCAAAGCGAACCATGAACAAAATCGAGTCATTGAGCGGAGAGGCCATTGGCTGTCTTCCTCATGAGAGGTCTTCATGGCGTTGACTTTTTAAGTGCATAATACCCTTACTTATAGCAGCAACTGTTCACTTTGATACAATATTTTATTTAATTGCAGAAAAAAAATATTTCAAAATTTTTTTCAATTATAGAAAAAATAAATATTTAAATAATATTAAAAAAAAAAAAAATAAATAAAAAATTGTATTGGAGCCTATTATATTATATATAAATATAAGATAATAAGAATAGCTGCAAATTTGTTTCTTTTATTTTTTTATTTGATATAATTTTTTATTTTTAAAATTTTATATAAAATATTACAAAATAAAATATAAAATTTTTATAAATTAAAAAAAGAAGCAAATAAATTATAAATATAGAAAAAATTAGAAAAAAAATATATAAAATATATAAATATATTTTAAACCAAAATATATGCTATATTTATGCCTTATAATCAGGTCATCACAGCCTGCTATCGAATAAATATAAATAATTGGTTATAATGTATTTTTTCTTATTTTTATTATATTCAAAACATTTTCCAATATACATACACACACACAAAGGTATTTTCTCATAGCTATGTGTATTAGTTGACATGAGAACTGGAATCAATAACACCTTGTCAATGTAATCAACTTAATCAATTAGCTGTGCGATGAGAGGCAGTAGACAGCCTCATTTACAGTCTAATTATTTAATTTGATTTTTGCATAAATTTCAAAGTGATTGAAAATTTCGCGAGCTGATGATGATGATGATGTTGATTCGAAAGCCTGTCAATGAAGCGCATTGCTGTGCCCACTGTCTGCTGTTGATTTCCGCGGGGAAAATCAATCGCGCGTGAAATGTAGCGATGCTTAATAATTACGGGTGACGTGACAGCAATCACGACAGAGAGGGGTAGAGTAAGAGAGAGAATTGAAGAGGGAGCACATATAATGAGGTGGAGAGGTGAGCAAAAGGTAGCAATCGAGAGCCTGCGGGCTGCTAAGGCAGCCACCAAAGTTTGCAGTTTTTTACACTTTGACAGTGATTGAAATCAATATTGATTTTTATGCTGGAAATCGGATATATATAGTGAGTCGATATTAATTGAGGCTGCATGCCTGGCGGCAGGCCGTTTAAAAAATGCATTTGCATAATTAAAATTGAAAAGATGACAAAAAGAATATGAAAACTGCAGCACAACCTTGCAAATCAATCAAAAGTGTAATGTCTTCAAGTGAATTGCGCTAGCTGAAGAATTACTCAATACCACAAAGCCTACATATCGAATTTTGACAGGCGAATGCTATTGAATATGACAAAATATGAAGCACAACAAACAACACAATAACAATAACAGCTAATCAATGCCAGCCTTGAAGCTGATTTATTTTTTGTTTTATTTTTTTACTTTTCTTTCGGGTTTTTTTTTGAAAGTTTTGCGGCTAGTTTAATAAACTAATTTTTGGAGGCGGAAACTGGAAAATGCTTTGTTTCTTATTTTATGCGATTGTGAATTGGATTGATGAGGGTCAGCTTAACTGACTTGGATTATTGGCTTATTTTAATATATTTTGGCTAGGAAATCTAAAGTATTTCAATTACATTAGTTAAGTTGATAATATATGTATATTATAGCATATCATCATATGCTGATTTGATGTTGTGATGCATATGATGCATTTGGTATATATGATTATAATGCATATGATGCATATGAGGCATATGAGGCATATAATAAGATGATGATATGATGCATATGATAATATAATGATATAATGCATATGATGAATATGATGAATATGTTGCATATGATTTATACAATGCATGTGATGCATGTGTTACATATGACGTATATGATTCATACGATATGATGCATATGATGAATATGATGCATATGATTTATACGATGCATATGATACATATTTAGCATATGATTCATAAGTTGTATATGATGTATGTGATTCATATGATGCATATGTTGTTCATATAATGTATATGATGAATGTGATGTATATGATGTACATGATAATGTATATAACATATATGATGTGTATGATGTATATGATGTATATGAATGTATGTGATGTATAAGATTATTTTAATTATATATGATTTATGTGATGCATATGATGCATTTGATGCATATGATGTATATAATATCCTTGAATCAAATGAATCTAAATAAAATTTTTTTAATATTTTTTCATTTACTTGCGAGCTTAATTCTTTTAAGTTTTGTATTTTTAAATGATTAATAAAACATTTCAAAACCAATGCTAAGTTTTTCAGAGTCGCATACATCAATGTCTAATAAAGCAAAGTCAGCTATAATGCAAAGCTGCGTTAACTAGAAAGCATATTAATATAATTTCAGCTAAATGTTTTCTCAAAATAAATGAACTATAAATCTCTCCTCATATATATGTAAATAGGTATATATAGCAGCCACAAATAGCCTGTAATATTTTGCATGTTTTCAGCCCACACAGATAATTCCAGTCTTGGATCATTTTATTGGGGCGCATTTTAATGGCTGTTCGACAAGGCCTTTGGCTCTTGACATGCAGCAGCAAGATGAGCGATCACATATCTTCGAATGTATCTCAAATCCATTCTAATACCTTTTTGTTGTTGTTTTTGTTGTATAATGTAAGCATAAATCGCGCAATTTATCATAAAAACGTTTCCCATTCACTATGCCGAGCGTTTAAAGCAACTTAATTATGGCTGGCCATAAAAATAGTGGCGTGGAGCTAAGAAAAAGTCTTGGCTAACGTTTGATATCGCATAACTTGGCTAATTGCCACACGCTGCTGACATATTTGCCTAATGGCCTCGTATAGTTTTTAGCTGGAGCGCAGAATCTGTAACAGCTTCAAGTTCTGGCCATAAAGCAGCGCCAACAACAAGCAAATAAACTTGCCCAGCATAACGACAACAACAACAACAACAAGAACAGCAATGAAGAAAAATGAGTTCAATAAAAGTTCTACATGGTTAAAAAGTTTTAGCACTTGGCCAGGGCAAAACTGTCAGCCTGGCCTAATGACTTTTAACCGAGTTGCAGAATGCACTAAGACCAAATTAGAGAGCACGAAGAAGCAAAAGGAAATGCTCAATAGTTGCCAGAGAAAGGTAGATAGAGGGATATAGATAGAGGGCGCCACTTAATTGTTGTATTGTTGGACCAAAAGTTTTGCATAAAGACGTGCTAAAAATAATTGAGTAGTAATTTATTTTATAGCGTCTGCCATTAAATTTAAGTGCATTAGTTTCGAATGGCAAGTGCGATGCAATCTTAAATGGCAGCTACTCGGCTACAACCAGCAGCTGATGTCATGGCCCATAATATTCTAAGTTGATTCGATAGCTTAGAGAAAAGGAAGAAAGCGCCGAGAAACATACTTAATTAACAGACAGAAACAAAATTAAGTAAACAGGTTCAAATTGTCTATGAACATACTAGGAAAAAGAGTAAATAGATTCAAATTGAATATAAAAGTAGTTATATTAACTTTAGTTGAAGTTTGAGTCTTTTTAGTATATCATTTAGATTTGTGGCCCAGTTCCCACTACAGCCATGAATGGCCAAGGCTCTAAGTCCATTTAGTATTTTCCCCTAATACTTTTATTCAATTTTATCACAAGTTCAGCAAAAAAATAATGAAAAAACGAATAAATTTAATTTGCATTAGATAATCAAAAAATATATTAAAAATTATCTGCAGAGGGACTATTATATAATTTTCAATTAATAATATATAAAAAAATATTTATTAACTAAAAAAGATTGATTTTATGTATAAATGTAAATATTTTTGTATACGGCAAAATATTTTTTTTGTATAAGTAAAATTTAAAATAATTAAAATTATTTGATTTCATAATTTTTTATCTTATAATTTACATATTTTTACATTTTAATATTTATATATATACATATGTGCATTTATATATTTATATATTTAAATATTTATATATTTATATATTCATATATTTATATATTTATATATTTATATATTTATATATTTATATATTTATATATTTATATATTTATATATTTATATATTTATATATTTATATATTTATATATTTATATATTTATATATTTATATATTTATATATTTATATATTTATATATTTATATATTTATATATTTATATTTATATTTATATATTAATGTATTTATATTTATTTGCAGAACTATTATGTTCTCTCTATAAATTGATCGACTAAAGAAGTTTTTGATCTGATAAATATTAAAGTAAATTTCACACGCTTCTTTAATCCATATGTATTTAAGTTATAATCGCGCAAGTAACTTCGCTTTAAAGGCCTTTGCTCTCACGCAGTAGTTTTAATTCTTTGGGATGATCAAATAGCTCGATTCATCACAGTCTTAAGAAACGTGAACGACTTTAGTTGCACTGCAATCCGATTCCCAGACCCCTGCTGCGTGGCCCAGAGAGTCCAACGATCATTGCCTAACCTTTGACTTTTATTTGTATTGTTTTGTTTTGTAACAATGATGTAGTAGACCGTGGACTTATTATTGCTGTGTTGAATCATTTCAGGTCAAGCTGGTCGACGTGGAGAAGGTGGAATGGCTCAATAGGCGCTCGTATAGCGCCATTGGGCTGCTGCTGGGACGCGAGGGTCGTGTGCTATTGCGATGCGACGATGGCCTCGAGGATTGGTTCGAGCTGCTGGAAGTAAGTCTCTTGTAATGAATTATCCACAGTTTATTTATACTAATTCGTATGACTGCCCTAAACAGGAATGCACGCTGACCTCCAAGGAGCGTCGTCGCGCGTTGAAGATCGCCCAGGGACCCAGATCGCGCGCTTCTCTGGCCGCGCCTGTCTCGCATGCCTCGCTGCAGTTCCAACACTTTGGCCTAGGCAGCACCTACTCCAGCGCCCTGGACGATTGGCTGATGACAAATGGCTCGGCGAGTGGTGGCGGCCTGGCTCGCCACAAAATTGGCGCTGGCAGCCTGAATGGCTATGCGGGTGCCAATCCGTTTCTGTTCAGCGATTCAGTGCCCGATCTGAGTGCCCTAAACAATGAGAATCACAATCATCATTTGAGCGGCATCTCAACGAATCACTCCACGCCGCAAAAGATACCGCACCACAGCAATGCGAATCTGAGTCGTTACTCGAATGGCTATGCCTCGGCGCAGAACAGCTTTACCCAGGCTGGTGGCGTTTTGTATGGCTCGCCACGACGCATTTTCATCAACAGCAGCTTCGGATCCAATCAGGTGGTGGACGAGGAGACCGCCGAGGAGGCCGAGGTGCAGTTGCGTCGCCCAAGACTTTTCCGCGGCATCAGCGCCCAGCCGGACAATGGCAACGAACTGGACAAAGATTGGCTCTATCGCAAACCTCGTGCGCCCACCGATATGCGCCATTCAGGTGAGTTCATGAGACTTCCAACTGTCCAGCTGTCAGCCTAACTCAACTCTCTCTTCTAGTTCAACCCATGCTGCCCACTCACAATGCAAATGGCGGCAGCACTGCTGGCCTGGCTAACAACAAACAGGAGCTGGACTGTTCGGCGCATGACAGCGGCCTGGATACACCGCCATCCACGCATCGCCCCTCCAGCTATCGTGAGGCAGCCAGCCGCGACAGCACCGAGACGAACGGCAGCTCGTCGCGTGGCACGCTGCTCAACAATTCGCCCGGCGGCAGCTTTCGCGCCAAGAAGCTGAGCGCTCAGGTGAACAATCTGAATCAGTTGAATGCCTTGCACGGTTCGCGCTACTCAGTGCAGGATCAGCGCATATTGAAGATGCGCAACAATGAGGAGGAGCGCTGTGCGTCCATTAAGCTAGCCAATCGGTTGAATCACAATCACGAGCCGAACACCAACGCCTACGATCCCAATCAGAATCGCTACTATAAGAATGGCAATGCCACGCCTCCCATCTCACTAACGCCCCAGCATACGCCACAGCACAAAGTCATGCACCACAGCAACGGCAATGGCAACGGCACGCTCAACGGCAACGGCGGCGCCGGCATGAACGGCTCGGCCATATTCCGCGAGCGCTACCAGCATCCAGCACTGGCGGCCATCATCAACGAGGCGCAGGGCCTCAAGTTTCGAGGTAAAGCTATGCCCATGCAAATGCACGTTTAAATGGGCACCTTAGTTATTTTGTATAACTAACTATTTTTAATTTGATAGAATCGATTATTAGAATCGATTTATAATGTAGCTAGATGATGTGGACTTTTTTGTAGTATTTTTGAGGCATTTTGAAATTTTTCATGTAAAAAAATATAAATTTATTTTTTAGTACTTACATAAAATTTGATTTAGAATTGCAGAATTAACAGATTTAATATTTGTTTTTCATTCAATTAAATTCATAGCAATGAATTGAACACCTACCAATTGAAAGCTACAGATTTCAGGACTTATACAGCCTTAAAACATTTTTAGCTACAAATAACATGTTATATACTACAGGAAAAATTAACTATAAAACTTAAGATTCGATTCGACTCAATTAAACGCTTAAGCTTCAGAGTGTTTGATGGGTTTTGAGTTCTTAACTTTAATGTGCATTAATTGAAGTATTAAAAGCAGGAAATTAGTAAAGAAGAGATAAAATACAGAACCTATATAAATTATATATATTATAAAAAAAAGTTAGTGAATGTTAATAATTTATCTTACGATAATATTAATATTATATTTAGTAACATCAACTAACCCCATCGTATCAGCACGCAACTCATTATGATTTCTTATTATATTTAAGTGTATATATTAAATATTATATTATTATTTTTATTTCAATTGCATGTTAACGATTTGCAGAAGAAACGGAAAATATTTGGTAAATAAATGAGTGTAAACCAATTGCATGCAGCAACCTTACACACATACGAATCCAACCAGCATGTCAAATGTCCAAGTTAAACCAATGATATATGTATATATCTAAGTATCTGTATATAGACACATATCTATAGATAGAATACCTTCTTGTAGAACGTGCCCACTCGGATAGCCAACAGCGCCGCCTGAACAACAACAACAACGGGCCGACGCCAGTGCCCGCCTCACCGCTGGCCCAGCGACGCAACAACGTCCCCATTTTCGGAACGCCCACGCGCGTATAGCGGTTAAAAGTCTAAAGACGGACTATATGTAATATGAGGTCATCGAACACATCAATATATACATTACCACTAGCCCAATAAGTAGCCTAATGTTTAAGTGAAATTATAAAATTAGTCAACCGATAATACTTGAATAAAGGACAAAAACACCCAGAAAATGATAAATATAAGACACTATGTAAAATATATAATCTGTAGACCTTAAATACAGCGACTTTACAGCGCTTGGTTAGAACATGCCAGCGAATCATAATAGCAAACAATAATATACATATACATAGTCTAAAGATCTAGATAAAATTACAATCTTCTAGTAGTTTTAGTGTGCTATATTGTCCAGCTTTATCGAATCAGAAATATTGTCTAGAGCAACATCTCTATTAGTATTTGGGAGGACTAGATGAGAATATATATTCTAAATTTCCAACGACCTTAGCTGGGAAGGCATTGCTATATATTTTCATATTTCTTGAAACTTTTGATAAGTAAAATCTTCTTTAAATAATAATAATTAAATTTTTCGTTCTGTCAATTAATTCTTCAAATTATATTAATGGCTAATCTATCTATTGTTGTTGCATTCCCAGAATATCCCGTGATATTAATTGTGGAAGCATTATCTTCTAGTCCCCCTATTGCTACAATTATAAGATTTATTTAGCTTTAGCTAACTCTATGTAAAACGTCAAAATAAAATAAATTATAAAAATATTAGAATATCTATTTTTTTTAAATATTGTAAAAAATTTTCAGATTGAAGGATTTTATTTAATCTGCTTCTTTATATTGGCTTTCACAAAGTTTGGTGGTTAGTTTTACCTTTTAGCCAAAAAATATTTAATAACAAGTAAGAGTGCTTTAGTTGAGACATTTCGACCAGAGGATACACTGAGCCCTGAGAGATGCTGATATTCCAATCATTTTACGATTCTTTTATTCACACATTTCAAATATCAATTATCTATTTATATTTGCTTTCAATTTTCTTTACATACATATTTAATCATCATCAAACGCTCTGAACGCAAATTTTTGTCTCTCACAATTTAAACTGTAAACGGTTAAAGAACGAAGTTGAGGTGCAAATCGCTATCGATCTGCGTCTGGTTATGCGATAGTTGCGCGGTCAGTTGTGACGTCACAAGTAATATAAATAATTAAAATTAAAAACCGTAAGTTAAATTCAAATAGTTTATCAAATTTTTTTAAAGGAATGAAAGACAAAATAATAATAATATTTTAAACCAATCTATTAGTCAATACTGCAAAAAATATTCCAATATTGGATTCAGATTGAAGCGGTATCAAAAACTGTGAAGAGCAAGTCTGTTTTGTTAACATAATTATTTTGGGCTTTGATTAGTATAATATAAATTAACTGTGTTGAATTTTTATTGAGAAGATAAGGAAGATATCGTATTAGAAAAGAAAAAAATAATATATTGCCAATAACATAAGTTACGCTTATTACAATAAAAATAAAAATATGATATGTAAAATTGTGCAAAATAAATAGAACCATAATTTATATAATATGCATTTAAGTACTTTATTTAAAAGAAACCAAAATTTTGAAAATACGTTAAAGTACCTATAAAAAGTATCGAGTAGCGAATTATGATACCATCTCTAATGTCAGATGTTTACAAACAAGTCAGAATGGAGCTTAGGGAAAAAAAGAGACTTAAAGCAAATGCTCTTGATGAAAACATGCAAAATATGCCTGACCATTGTGCAGGTGCACAGATAAAACTGGAAGTTCATGAAGAGGACATCGATGTTAAGCCAGTTGAAGATGAAATCCATGTGTTCAATGAGCCGTTCCCAATGGACAATGACGACATTAATGAAATGCCGCAATCAACCAACAAGTAAACTATAGATATATTTATTAGTAAACCTTTTTAAACGTGTCTATATATATATATATATATATATATATATATATATATATATATATATATATATATATTTTTATAGATTGCCAATTGGTAAGAGATGATATTGAAATATAAGTATTCAGTTGGGCAACTTTCAAACCCAATTTTGTTAGCCTCCACAGCTGATGAATTAAAAAACATAAAACTTGAGCTGCAAAATGTGAATAGAAAGTTGCAAAATCTGACAAAGAAACAGGATTACATACTGCAAGAGCAGAGGGAATTGAAAGTAGCTGTGACTAAAATGAATTTGCTATTGAAAATGAGTTTGGGTATAAAAACAGATGAGTTTGCCCACTTGTTTCCGCTGCATGATGAAGAAAGTCTGCAATTAATAGAAGATCAGCTGCAATCCGAGAAGAGACAAAGTATCGTAAGTATACTAAATTAAATATATATATGTATATTAATATATATAACTTAATTTCAGATCACATTAATGCGTAAGCTCATATGCAGCAATATTGTTGAGAACTTTTCAAAAATATTCAGTGATAAATTGATCTTTTCACACAATTACGAGGGCATTCAGAACAAGAAACCTATTAAGATTTATGAAAGCTTCTTGCTTGGCCTTTTTGGTAAGTTAATAATGAACAATTTTTAAGCTTTAACATTTTCTACATTAATCTTATTAAATTACAGAAGCTTCTGAACTGCAGACACATGAAGAATTTGTTATGAGTATTAGATCTTCATTTAAGATCAACAAAAATAGAATACATAAAAGACGTTCACGGCAAATCAACAAAACTAGCAGCTAAAAATTGCTTAGAAATTTATAATATATTTCTGAACATTTTATAATTTTTATTAAATTTTTTTAGCTTAGGAAATACGTTTAAAATATACATTACAGCGTTTAAGAATTCATCTATCAACAATCAAAAATAATATAAAATATAAGCTACAAATAAACTTTAAATAATTCATATCCTTCCTGACTATTTTATCGATACATTCAGCTTATTACTTTGAGCTCAAGCAACACGAATATATCTCTCATTGCTGGTCACATTTTTGTAACATATCTAAAAAATTAAAACTGTAATTTACATACAAATTCAGCCGGCAAGTACAAAATGGAAACAACTGCGGATGAAACAAGCAGTGAAAGGGAAAATGAGAAAGGCAATGCTACACATTGTTGAGGATCAAAGCCAATGAAATGGGACAAACGGTAAAAAACGATATCTTATAATAAATAGTAGACTTTAAAATACTTTTTGATATACATGATATTACAAGATAAGAGAAGAAAGTTAATTAATTAAAGTTAACTATATGTGCATATATGTATAATACTATCGGAATAATAATAATAATATTGGCATAACAATCGTTACAAGCCCCATTTTTACCATCCTTACAACTAAGATGTCAAGATGTCTCCTTACAACTAAGATGTCAAGATGTCTCTCCTGTACAGTCATCGAAGGCAGACGTACATCACATTACTTTACAACAAAAATAGTAGCGACATTAGACATTGCAGTAAGCTAAGTAGCACACTATTGAATTATATTGAATAACATATTAATAAAAAATGTAATTTACTAATTTTTTTAAAAAGAATTTTGATGTATTCTTTTTAAAATCGCTATTGTTGCGCCAATCTAAAATTCGATTAATAATCGTAGACTTGTTGCCTTGCGATAGGTAACGAACAAATATTTTTTGAGTTGCGTGCCATCTCTAAGAAACAGCTGCTGTAAACGACTTTATTTTACCAATATTTGCAACTAGAGATACAAATATTGTAAGATGCAGCAATATATAGATGTAAAATGCATCAAACAGGAATACCAGGAAGACTATAATGTACCTGAATATGAATTGGATATAGGACCTGTTAAAATAGAAGAGCATATGAATACGGCAATAAAAAAAGAAAGCGACGAAACGCAACAAACGCTAAACAGTTGTAATTATGCTGACTTCAAGTTAGAACATCTTTATTAAATATTTAAACAATTTCAGTTGGCAGTGAAAAGCATTTGCAGTGCATTCCAGTCACTATTCCAGTCTCGTCCCATTCAAAGGCAATTGAAACCAAATCAAATAATCGCCGCACTGTTGTGAGCGAACTGCGTGAACGACTAATGAAAGTGGACATGGCAAGCAATAAAGCATTTATAAAGTCAAGTCACTTACCGGCCGATCAGTCCAGGCGATGCTACACGGCGGCCACACAATCGCCCACAGAGTCACCCGTTTCCTGTTTGCCGCGTGCTCAGCGTATGCGCGATCTACGCCAGCGCCTTATGAATTTGGAACGCTCACAGGAACAGCCACAAAATAAGCCCGTGCTACCGGATAGTCAACGTACACGTGAGCTGCATCAGCGACTGCTGCAACTGGGCAAAGCAGAGATTACGCCACCTGCTCACATCAGCAAAAGTGAATTAAGTGAAAATCAGCCTCGAAGATCGTAGCCAAATCAAGTGCTCAGCGTATGCGCCCGGCGCAGCTCAGCAACCACGACAACAACTGCAGCAGGAACAGCAACAACTCCCGTCCAAGGACACCGCCTGAGCTAACTGCTAAGCGAATGCATGAATTTCGACTGCGTCTGCTAAAGCTGGACAAATCTCGGCTAGAATTGAAAAGCAAAAAGCAGCCAAAGGGTAAAAGTAAAAGAAAAGCTAATGAAGTACTAATTATAGATGCTGATGATGGGGATTAAAATTTTATCTGCTATAAATATTGATTATAATTTTAATGAATTGGCCAAAGTTTGCTCTAATTAAAAGCCTTTGCATTTAACTGTCAAGTGAAGCTTCAAGCTTCCAATTGAAAGTCATAAAAGCTCTGCTTTCACCTTATCTCCGTCTCTCTCTTTTTGCTTCACTTCGGATGAATGCAACACTGTTGGAAGCTTTCAGGTACAAAAAGCTTTTGCATGAAGCTGAGAGACAAAGAGAGAACAACCCCCAAAAATGGTTAACGCTGCTTCAGAGAAGATGTATTGCAATTTTCTCCCAAGCAAATACATGTGGGAGTCGCAACAGCAACAACAACGGCAAATTTTCAGTCAGCTTTGAGACGCAGCGCAGCGCTAAAGACTAAATCCGGATAGATAATTTCAATTGGCCGTTAAACCAGGTGTAAAATGCGTAGTCGCACGGAGCTGGTGACCACCACATTCGATTTGGACTCTGATGAGGAGGACTACAGTCCTGACGACGACGATTCCGAGGAAGACTGGCGACCCAACAAGAAGCGCCAACAGAAGCAGCCACGTGCCAATGGCAACAATAGTAGCAGCAGCGGTGCTGGCGGTGGCGGCGGCGTCGGCAGCGACGCTGGCAGCAGCGGACGTAAACGCAAAGCAGCTGCAGCGTCGGCATCGAAGACCAAACGACGTACGATTGTGCCCAAGGTAAGCGATGAGGACTTTGAGTCTCTTGATGAAGAGGAGGAGGACAACAACCTGGACACGGAGCCCAGCGATGGCGAGTTCGAAAATGTCGCCGCGGCGAGCACTTCCGCAGCGAAGCGTACGCAGAGTTTGCCGCCCAAAAAGCAATTTGTCAAATTGGCCCAATTGGATTTGTTGCTCAATAAGCGGGATCTATTGGACACGAATTGGTTGCTAAATAGTCGCCTATGTCTGTGGCGCAAGGATGAGCAAACGAATCTGTTGCAGAAATATTTGCGTGTTAAGACGACAGAGGATGCGGCCAAGCCGCAGGAGCAGCAACTGCTCTTTACTTCCAGCTCTGTGGTAAGAGACATTTACTTTAACTTTTAACTGTACTTGCAAAAAGAAGCAAACAATACAAAGCGCACTAAACAATTTACCGTTCTTGGCGCTCAGCGTATTTCGTGCTCTCCTCGTTGGCAGCTAAGCAGAATTCCAGATGTCGCTTTGCCTTCGTCGCAGCAGCGATCATGCTGTCCTGTCCTCATTTAATCCGTGTGCGCAATTCAAATTTGTTTCGAAAGGGTATGACAGGTCTGTGGCAATTTATGTAACAAGCAGAAATTGTAAATTATTAAATGCACGAAAAAATGAGCTATAGAATTGAAATGGAAATTATAAATGTCATTGGCCATATTCTTGTTGATTATATGTCAAACTTCATTTATATCGCTTCAAATCTCTGAATTTCAAAAATGTCTGTGTTCTGCTTGTTCCTAAGCACAGCATATTTATGCATGTTATAATTGCGAGGGTATTTTATTATCAGGCACTCTCAACTCGAGCATTGTTACATGTATTCTTATGCATGTCAATGTTCCGTTAGGTTGCAACTTCGCTCTTTCGTGTTGAAATGAGCGCATCGATGTTTCTTTTTAAGTTTTCTGGAATGCAAAGCGTTGCATACTTTCAGGCGTACGTGTTTATAAATGCGTTTGCGTTAAGCTACTTTGCCTATTGTCCCATAGGTGGCGCTTTACTAGTATTCATAAGCAGAGATGATCTTTTAAGTCTGTTGTATAACATATCCTTACGCTTTCAGTACTCCAGCTGGGATGAACAGCATATTAGTGATTTCATAGATGTCAAAGTCAATTGCTTGGATCCTAACAATAGACGCGTTCAATTAGATGATATAGAGGCTATTAAAAAATTATCCACAGAGCTGCAGGCGACTGCAAATGAGTCAAATCCTTGCGTCGAGGCCAACGATGAAAATGACAATAATGATGGTACAGCTGACCAAGAGCCAGCAGCAGCCAAGGAGCAGCACGAAGATGAGAACGATGTCGACGACGACGACGATGATGATGAAGACGATGACGACGACGACGAGGATGACGATGAAGACGATCCATAAATGAAAAAGAAAACTATTAATGATATATTTACAAAAGCAAAAAACCCAAAATGCGTTCTATACATAATTCCTAGAAGTTAATTAGAAGGCCAAGTTAGCGTTAAAAATTGAATTAAAATTTGCAGCAATGTGAAAACGACTTTAAATTTAATTTAGTAAAAACAATTTGAAATATCAACGCAATGCGCAACAAAATACATTGATATTATTAATTACAACTGGATTTGCAATGCAAATTGTATAGATTTATAGATATATATATATATATGTATATATAGGTAATTTTCTGACTGTCTTCACGGAGTTTTGTCTCTTGTTTTGTTTGTTTTGGTGTCTTTTTGAGAGACAGCTAAAATTTGCACTGATCTGTGCTGCGGGGAGAAGACTGCGGCTGTGAGTGAGGCTGAGAAGTTGGCAGACGGATTTTGGTTTTGTTGTTGTGTTCGGTTTCTTGGGCCGGTTACCGGCGACGCTCGCCTTTGACGGTTTTGCGTTTCTCTTTCTTCTCTTCGCGCAGCTGCTTTTGCTTTTCGCGATCCTCTTTGTCCTTTTGTTTTTTGGCCGCACTCTCGAGACGCGCCTGCTCGCGCTTCTCCTTGGCCAAATTGGCCACATCCGACTTGTTGGTGTTCGGCGCCATAACGCTCGATCCGCTGGGCTCAGCGCATTCCCCATCCGTGTCCTCATCCTCCTCCTCACTGACAGCAGTCTACAAATGATGCAAATTATATTAAAAGCAATTTCTTCGCATGCGAAAGGCAATCAAAAACCTGTGAGTATTGCGCAAGTATCTGCTGCTTAATGCGAAGCTCCTCTTCGGTATATTCGCGCTCCTTGGCGGCGGGTTGCAGCTTCTGCTGTTCGAGCAATTTGGCTAGTTGAGCATTCACATCGATGTCGAGGCCCTTTTTGGGCGGCTCATCTGCGCTGGGATGACTCTGGAGCCATTTTTGCAAGATGCTCGCCACCAGCTCTTCTATGTTGGATGCCTATAAGTTGCAGTTGCTATGTGAATTCGATTTTTCTCTCTATTTCTACTTACTTCTGTGCCGCTGAGTATGCCTTCGAGTGCCTCGATTTTTTCATCTTGTGTCTCCTCTTCGCCCTCGAGGATGCCAATTATGTAGGCACCAAATACACTTTCATCTGTGTTGAGCTGTCGCAGCTGTTCGTTGAGCCACGTTTTAAATTCGCTCATTTTAAATGCAGCAATGGTGGCAGCCAATTGTATCCAGTTCCAGGCAAATAAAAGCCGCAAAAGGCGACTAAATTCGACACAGCATGTGCAGCAGTGTTGTGAAATGATAAAAACCAAAACAGCTGCTCAAATACGGTAAGTAAAAGCAAAAAAAAATAATAATAAAAATACTCTAATATGCATAACATTTAAAATGTAATTTATTAAAGACAAATATTATTTTGACAATTGTTTAATATTTCATACCGATTCTGTCAATTAAATGTAAATGCAACTATCGGCATCTACACAACTGTTACACAGCGCTACTCAGCTGTGCACAACAGTTCTGAACGCACTCAGTACGAGCAAGGGTTCAACCAGTGTTATTTAACGTTACACTTTTTATTGTTATTTATTTTTGCGCTGCTGCTTAACATTTAATTTACGGTTTTCAAAGTGTTCTTTTAGTGACGTATTAAATATTCAAATTGCTGCAGATTAATTGTGCAAATGTTTTTAATCGTAAATTGTGGAATTGTATGCGGGTTGCGCATACTCACCATACCGCTAAAACGACTAGAGTATGCAGCTGTTTGTTTTTGTTGTAAAGCAACAATAACAATTGAATTTCATAAACAAATTCAAAGTGCAATGTAATGCTTTTTACAACAAATTTATACAATTGTTACGTTTAGTGCGTAATTGAAAGTGTGCGGTGTATTTATATATATATATATATATATTTGCGTGAGTGTGTGCGTTTGTTTTATTCGTATTCTGCGTCTTCGTCGCGCTGTCATAATTTAACTACAACAACAGTAACAACAAGAAGTCGAGGCACACACGACACCTGCGTTTTGTTTATTTGTTGTTGGGCGTGAGGCGTCATAAACAAAATCTATACAACACACGCGCAGTTGGCAGTCGACAGTCGAAAGTCGACAGTTAGCAACAAGTGGATAGTTATTGTTGATGTATATTGTTGATGTATATATATATAAAGCAAACTCAAACTCAGACTTGCACCCAATACCATCCAAGTAACCAAATCGCCACCACCTGCACCACCCCCTCCACTTTTGGCGTTGATTTTCTGTTTAGCCAAGCAGGTGAGCTATATAGTAAAATATATTTATATTCTACGTACATATACATATATATCTACATATATATACATATATATTCCAATTGGATGGTATGTCCAATTGGATTCATATAAGACGGCGTCCAATGCAACCTGTTGCACAGTCTTAAGTCTGCTTTTTTACATTTTGAGCTCATAATATTTGCGGTAACTGAAGATTTGACTTAAATAAAGAATTCGTGTAACAATTTAAAAATATATATAAGTAAATTTATACATAAATAGACAAAAACTTAAAATAAAAAATAAAAATAATAATATTTTAAGATTGCGAACTATTATTAAATAATTGTATTATTATTTATATACAATTTGTATTTATTATTTTTTTTTTTAATTGAATTAATTACATTTATTTTGTTATATCATTATTTAATATTTTTATTTTCCAATTATTTATTTTAACATTATTTCTTTTTAAAATTTAATATTTTTGCTTTAAATCATTAATTTAATTATAATTTCTACATTCATTTCTAATTTAAATAATCTTATGCTAAATTTAAATATATAATCAGAAATTTAAAATTTATATCTGGATTTTTCAAGCCATCAAACCATAAAGCCAAACCCAAACTCACTTTCCTACTTTTTTGTTAGCTTCTTCTTGCTATTTATATCCTAATAAGTTCTATTCGCAATCGTACTCCCATGACCAGAGACTTTTGCCGAGTTGACTTCGTGAGCTTTTATTTATTTTTTAATAGCTCACACGCGGGAGTTGTTTATAGCTGTAGTTGTGTGTGTGTGTATAATAAAAGCCATTAAAATTAAGTAATTGACGCATGCAGTCGTCGACACCTGGTACAGAACAGGAAAATAAAGAAACGGCACAAAGGATATTGTCATAAGAAATCGAACAATAAATAAACTCGAGTCTTCCCTGACTGCTTACATATACACGCACGCACACACACACACATTAATATCAATGTATATGCAACGCATTGCACAAATCTTTTTTGCATGCATTTCGGTTATTCTGCAATTTATCTCACCTGGTCTGGTTGTTCTTAGCACATCGCATTGGCCCATTAAATTGAAAGCCTCTTAAAATTTCAACCAGCTCATAAAACTCACACGTTTAGTCGCTGGGCCACAAAATCGTTGGGGCATTTTTAACTGCCTGACGAGATATTAACCTGATTTTCTTGACTCTAAATGTAGGAAGTCGAATTGGAATTGGGCGAGTAGCAAGGGGCTTATATTTTATGGCGAGCTTACTTCTAAAGATATTTTGATTTTATTTTTGATACTTTTTATGTAATATAAATAAGTTATTTAGATGGCATGATGCTGGAAAAGTAATTAAATTTTCTGAATATAAAAATTTTGTTTATTTAAAAGGCTAAACTTTGAATCATTCTAAGTATGCACTTATTACTGAATTATTTTTTTTTTAGATAATTTATGTATATTATTTTTATATAACAACAAATATTTTTGGAAGCATATCAATCGAATTTAATATGAACTTTAAATCGTTTTAAAGCTTTTTAAGTTATTATTTATTTTTATTTTTAAAAGTTTTTTTTATTTATTTTCCTACTTTCATAAATTTTATTTAAATGGTTTACTGTTATTACATTAATTTATTTTAATTATTTATTTTATGCTTAAACATTTTTTATTTATTTATTAAATATTATTATAATTTATTTATTTTATTTTAACATATTTGAATATGGTATAAAATATGCTTAAATATAGCATTAGCAAAGGACTTATAATTGTGATCGTATATAGTGTATCGACTGTTTGCCAAAAAAAAAACAATCGCAACTATCGAATGAAACTATTTGAGCTAACGAGTTTTGCAATACTAACTTATCGAATCATTTGACTGTGCCACTCCTCGATCATTTTCTTTCTGACCACCTGCAACACCTTTGTTTACACTAACAAACACAGTACTGAGGAAGTGGCCAATCGATCCCCTCACTAAAGTGTGCTGATGCATCCAAGACCTTGCGTGTAAAATACTTCCCTCAAAATCAAAGGTTCTATTTGAATAATATATTATTTCCGACATAATGGCATAGCTGTAACTTCCATGTTAAACCAGAAATAGATAACTTAGATTGAAATAACTTCATAATATACATTTTTATACGGAATTTCTTGTATTTAAATTTACGTTCAACTTCGATGTTATTTATCAAACTTCGAAAATCGGCTCCAAACGGGCAACAAGTCAAAAACAGAAGAAAACAAACGCACATCAAAGTAAAAATTCAGGGCTATCTGGGTGGGTGGGCTGTTGGGTGTGGGTGTGCACGCAAAAGGTACAAAACATTACATTACAACGAATCCAACGGAAGCCAACGGGCGGTATAGGCGACTTGTCAAGGATGCCATTGAGCGCTTTTTCTGTAAAGTATTTTATGTTATTCTAACTGATGGAATTGTACAGCCGTGAGACCGCCCGTAGAGCTGAATGGATGAATGGTTGTGTGTGTGTGAGTGAGTGAGGGATGGCTCTATGCCATTAGGGTAGCTCCCTCTCTCACTCTCTCTTTCAAATGCTGTAAGCATATGCTGCTTGTTAAGGCAGCAGGTTGGCTAGTTAAGAGCTTTGTCGCATGGCAACCAAATAAGAAATGAGAGATAATTAGGAAGGGGATGTTGCAATAGGAAATTGTATTAAATGTCCTTGAAACAGTGTTGGATAACTTAAAAAAAAATAAAGTAAGAATACAACTGCTTTCTTATGATATGATACCAATGAATATGTTTTTTGGAAAATTGAAAAATTTAGATTCGTGTCTTACAGAAAATGCTATTAACAAATAATAAATATAATATAATGAAATAAGTAAAAATTAAATATTCTTAAAATGTTATTAATTTGTTACAATTACAAAATATTATTTACCTTAATTGCAATTAATTTATTAATTAAAACAGACATATGGGAACTTAATTGAAATTATATATAAAAATATTGATAGTTTTTTTTTAATAAATTCTCAACATATATTTAATATTTATATATAAATATTTAAAATTGTTATTATTTAGTTTAGTTTCAAGCAAGTCTTTCTTCAATTAAATATTGGAATATATTAAATATGTAGAAATAATAAGTTGATCTAAAATTTTGTTTTTTGTTTCAATAAAAAATTTTGAGAATTTATTCAAACAAAAAGCTGAAATTCTATAAATATTTTCAGTATTTTAGGCCTTAAAACATTTTAAAAGCTTAATAAAATTTACGTACTTTGTGGTAATAATTTTATTCATATTTTTTATGTGTATAACATAATATTATATATTATAAAAAATTTGCAAACTGAGAATAAATATTCGAAAATCTGACTTAATTTTCCATCTTAAATTTTTATAATAATTCAAAATTCTATATTTATTTTTAATTGTATGTCTTCAATATACTTCCGCCAACTAATATAAAATGTAAATTTATTTCGCCTTAAAACTAATTAGTTCTCAAATATTCTTCACATAATTTCAAACTGATTCAGAAATATTTAGTTTTTGTATATAGCCCACTAGATATAGGCTTATTTTAGACGTGATCATATCAGGGCATATGCCAACTATGGGGATGCTCCCTCGAAGCTAAGTGGATTGCTGCCCCGCCCCACTCAGAGAGCCCAACATTTAGAAAGTCGTCGCATTTGAGAACTGATTGAATGCGAGCGTTTGCTGCGTTGCTTGACAACTGCCAGCTGGAGGCCTTTGGCTCCATGGGTGGTTGATGGATTCCATTCACGGTGGCCCCTTGGCACTTGGCTGGGAATATCCTGCGCGTTCGCTCAGTTGTTGTTGCCGGCTTTGACATTTTAATTTTACAACTGGCAACAGTTTCTGCTGCTATCATTGTCCATGTCGTTGACAAATTGTTTGGAAAAGTCGCTCGCAGGAGCAAAAAAAAAAAATATAAAAAGCGAGAAAAACAAAATCTATGTCAGTGTGTATGAGTGTGTGCGTGCGCGTGTGTGTGTGTGTGTGTGGTAAAAATACCGTTAAGCATGACAGTCCAAGAGCCATAGAGCACTCAGATAGGTCACATTGATATATGAGAGTCAACTCTCGGAGCTACTAGCTGCAAGTCTTCAAGCGACTCCTGTTGCGCTCTCAAGTAGCCGCGTCATGTGCGGCCTTTCAAACAATTTTCAATTAAGCGCACAATCACGATAAATAAATCTCATTGTGCAGCGAACTTCATCTTTTGCCAGCTAGCACACGCTCTCTCCCCCTATCCAGCTCTCTCCTTCTCTCTTTCTTTAGCGGTATAGCATTTTCTTGCGGTTTTTCCGCTGGCTTTGCTTTATTAACCATGCTGTATACGGGGGCATCCATGGTCTCCACCTAAGGTAGATGCCACGCTGTGACTTTATTGCAATCTTCCAGCTTCCTCTGTGCCGCTAACACGCTTTTGCTTCTAGCCAGCTGATTGTCTCAGCTGCTCTATCCCAATAGTCTATACCACTTGGTAAGATCTTTGGTAACACTCGCAGGAAAAATGTGTTAAATATGGTTAATATATGAAATTTTCTATAAACTGAGCTTGAAATATACATTTTTATCAATTTTTTTCTTGGCAAATTTAATGAAAATTTTATTTATTTTGTATTTATTATATATTTATGCACATTTTTTTATTTATGAATTCAAAATCTAATTAGAATGCATTTAATATTTTGCTTTAATAAATATATATAAATTGTAATCCAGACTTTTCTCGCCGTTTATCAATTGATAATTTTAATTTATTATTTATTTATTATTTTAATTTTCTAATATTTTTTAAACTCATTGCAAAGTTCATGTTAAATTTTGTAGGCAATATGAAATCTACCTTTTTATTTTTAATTTTTATATATGTTAAATTGTTTATAATTAAAAACAAAAATATAATATTTGCGAGCTGTTAATTAGAATATGAGCTAATTACAATTATTAACTTAATGTCCTTGTAAATATTTACACTTAAGTTAAGGT